GGTTGGTATTGACTCCTGAGAGGGCGGTGGTCCTAGGGGGTGAGGGGAAGAGGGGAAGAGGTGTGAGAGGGAGGGGGAGGTGAGAGTGGTGAGGAAGAGGTGTGAGAGGGAGGGAGGTGAGTGGTGAGGGGAGGGGTGTGAGGTGTGAGGGAGGAGGGCCTCACTGACACACAGGGTTCACTCTTGGCAATCATAAATGCTCTTAGGAGTCAACAACACCTGGCGTCTTAAGACAGATGATGACGTCACGTTATTCCGACCTCCTTAGACTGACAATTGTTGCTTCTGTTGTAAGGAATAATAATGATGATTATAATAGGAACAACAATAACTATAACAGCAATTACAAGAGCAAAGATAATAACAATAATAACAACAACTACAAGAGCAATAATAACAACAACAACAACAACAACAACAAAAGGGCCAATTACAACTTGGGGGTGTTAAGACTGGGGTCCGTTAGAGCTGGGGTCTTTTATGAGAGGGGCCTTAATGACCTGTTACTGCTGCCTATCATCACTCACATACCTCTCTTCCTCCTCCTCCTCCTCCCCCCCCCTCTTCTCTTCCTCCCTCATACACTGGTTTCCTTTCATTCTCCTTCTCTTCCTTCTTCCCCCACCTTCTCCTCCACCACCTCCTCCTCCTCCCACACACTTCCTCCACTTCTACACACCTCTCCTCTTCCACCATCACCACCTCCTCCTTCCCTTCCCTCTACTGCTCTTCCTCTTCCTCCCAACTTCACCCACCTCCTTTTCTCCCCGTCCCCTCTTCATCTCCCTCAACTCCCCTCCCTCAACTCCCCTTCAACCTCCCCCTTCCCTCAACTCTCCCCTCCCCAATCCCTCCCCTCCCCCTTCCTCCCTCCTTCCCTCAAACTCCAGAGTGATCACATCCCCTCAGTGGTCTACCCTCACAAGGACCCCTCGACACCACTCACGGAAGTCGTCCCTTTGTTTAAGTGGTTCACCCTTTTTTTCTCTCTCCTCCCTTTCTCTTCCCCATACTCTCCTCACCTCATCTCCCCCATCCTCCTGTACTCATCTTCTCACCTCATCTCCCTCTCTCCTCTTACCTTCCCTTACCTCCTCCTTCTCCTCCTCCCTCACCTCTCCCTCATCTCCCCTCCTACATGTCCCTGTCCCTTACCTTCCCTTTTCTCGCCTCACCTTCCCTTATCTGCCCTCCCTACATGTAAGAGTCTCTTTTCCTCCTCTCATCTACCAGTATAGCCCCTCTCCCCCCTACTCTTAACTAGTGGTGCTGGTCTGGCCTCATCGTTTAGGGCAAGAGTCCTTGTTATTTAGGGCGACACCTGGTTGAAGCCTCTCATGGTTTAAGGGACTAACCTTTATATATCGCCAGGTGTCTAGAATCTGTGTTTAAGAATGTTTACTAGCGAGTGTGTTTTAGGATAGAGCAGCAACAACAGCAATAATAACAACAATGATAACAACAACAACGACAATAATAATAATAATAATAATAATAATAATAATAATAATAATAATAATAATAATAATAATAATAATAATATTAATAAAAAACAGGCAAACTAAATCATTATGGAAATTAATAACAAAAACAAACTGATAAAGAATGTGTTTGTGTGTGTGTGTGTGTGTGTGTGTGTGTGTGTGTGTGTGTGTGTTTCAAAGCCATCGGCTGCTGGGCTTAAGTTGAACATTTGATCAACCTGACCCAGACACCACCTAACACTTGAGGAACACACGGCCTTAAGTGTTAGTGTGGACACCACCTAACACTTGAGGAACACTGGCCCTTAAGTGTTAGTGTGACCACCTCACACTGAAGAAGAACACTGACCCTTAAGTGTTAGTGTGGCACCACCTAACACTTGAGGAATAGACAGGATATAGACAGGAAAACATCGGACGCTCAAGGGCTGGTGTGGACAGAAGCAAACACTTGTGGCTAACAGAGTCCTCCTCCTCCAACCTAACACTTGACACCGAGTATGACCTTGTTGCTATTGCTGTCGTCACTGGGCTGTGTGTGTGTGTGTGTGTGTGTGTGTGTGTGTGTGTGAGACTTGGAGGTATGAGGTCGCTAGAGGCCGGATCAGCTGAGCGTCTCCATGTTTGTTGACAACTTGACACCGGGAAGCCGCCACAACACCAGAGAGAGAGAGAGAGAGAGAGAGAGAGAGAGAGAGAGAGAGAGAGAGAGAGAGAGAGAGAGAGATGCAATATTTACCCTCCTATAGAACGATTGAGAGAGTGTCTTTGGTATTGCTGTTGGTAGATAGTCTCCCTCTTTTTCACCCCTTCCGTTATCTCCCCTGTTCACCTCTCCCTCCCACGTTATCTCCCCGTTTTCACCCTACCCCCTCCCACTAAACGGTTTTGCTCTCTCTCTCTCTCTCTCTCTCTCTCTCTCTCTCTCTCTCTCTCTCAGACACTCAACTTCCTGTCGTGTCTTCCCTTTCCTTTTACTCCTCCATTTCCTCCTCCTCCTTCTCCTCCTCTACTTCTTCCCCTTCCTCCTCCTCCTCCTCCTCCTCTACTTCTTCCCCTTCCTCCTCCTCCTCCTCTAACCCCTTCTCTCAGCCGCGTCTTCCCATCCCGGTGTTCACGATCATGTTATCTCCCTTGATGTAAATTGTGATCGTGGGGGAGGCAAGGAGGCAGGGAGATAGGGAGGAGAGGAAGAAGATAGGAAGGGGCGGGATGGAGAGAGGGTTGAGCAGGGAGGATAAGGGAGGGGAGAGTGACCAGTAGTGACGGTGGTGTGCGTGCAGGAGCGTCACACTGGCGTCTCTTATGACAAATTACCGTAATGGCCGCTCACTCTGTTTTTCCTTGGGGGCGTGAGGGAGAGATGGCTAGTGCTGTAGGATCAGTCGCAGGAAAGATTAGAAACAGAGTGAATGGCCATTGAGTTATTTTACCATTAGGGTTCAAGATGGTGAGGGTGTTGAGTCAGATATGGTAGTTTTAAAAGTTGAAAAATGGCTACAGAATTACCACACGTGAAGACATGTTGTGTGTAGAAGTATGACGGGAGGTGCTGTAGTGAACGGTGGCCATGTTGTAGAGGGAGGGAGGGAGACTCGACCAGAGGTGCCTCACGCCTCGACGAATACTAAAGAGGACCAGCCACTCGTCACCGCCGCCCCTCGTGCCCGGGAACTCCCACTCACTCCCCGGCGTCTTTAGCAAGTTTGAGGAGGAGGTTTAAGAAGCTTATGAGTTTCATTATGGAGAATGTTATCGTTAGAGGGTGATGAGGGTGTGTTGTGAGGCAGGTGAGGGAGGGATGAGTGGCAGCAGGTGTTGGCGCTGGAGTTCCCACGACGCAGTTTGTTCTCTCTAACGCCGCCTCACTTCCTGGTTGTTGAGGGCGGGAGGTCATCATCACTGTGTACTTCTCTTGTGTTTGTGGTCCAACATTAATATCTTTCTCCTACCACCTGACTGTGCAGGAGACCCCCTGCATGCTGCAACACCCTAATACTCCCACGTTGTGTGTTTAGGCAAATCCCATATCCTGCCTCTCCTGTTTATTGTCTCCTTGCTCCATGAATATCTAACTTAGTTCCTCTCATCCTTCCTATTTTATATTCCAGGAGAGACGACTCATTTCTCCACATCTTGCCGTGTGTGTGTGTGTGTGTGTGTGTGTGTGTGTGTGTGTGTGTGTGTGTGTGTGTGTGTGTGTGTGTGTGTGTGTGTGTGTGTGTGTGTGTGTGTGTGTGTGTGTGTGTGTGTGTGTGTGTGTGTGTGTGTGTGTGTGTGTGTGTGTGTGTGTGTGTGTGTGTGTGTGTGTGTGTGTGGTGTGGTGTGTGTGTGTGGTGGTGAAACCACATTCCTTCACTTCATTCACATTTGTGTCTCGTCGTGAAACTATGAGACAATGAGACGAGAATACATCTGGCGTCGTCTGGATATGTGGGGGTCTTTCGCGTGTACACATGACAAGACCTCCTGTTTCATACCCAGTGTTGGTGAGACCTGCCATGAATGTTACCACAGTTAATACTTGGGTCGGGATTGAATGCAGAGCGGCTGCCGGTAACGTTGTGTGGCCTACCTGGACCTGAGCATTGGAACAGGTCACGTTGACACATTCAGGCTCTGTGTGTGTGTGTGTGTGTGTGTGTGTGTGTGTGTGTGTGTGTGTGTGTGTGTGTGTGTGTGGTGTGTGTGTATCAGCCGTGGCCGTTCTTTATAACTTCAGGTTAAGTAAACAGTTCGTGTCTCAGTTAATTGAGTTATGGAATTACTGGAAGTGTCCAATGAGAATGACACACTTATCCTGCATGGGAGGTAGTGGGTCCTCCAGGTGGTCAGTGTACATGAGGGATGACCCAGTAACCTGAAGACGACCAGCCCTCCCGCCCTTAATGGTATTGACTGAGAGGTGTACAAGGAGTTTCTTTGGAGGAGTTGTGTATGTTATTGGTGTTTTGTTTCCTGTCTGTGCAGTCACTTGTGGTTCCTGTTCACATATAGTTCTGGTGGTGGAGTTTGGTCCAGTCTGGTGGGGATTTTGTCCTGTGTGGTTGTGGTGTTTGTGTCAGCTTTATGTTACTTTAAGAAAATTGTCTGGTGAGATTTTACTCTAGGTCGGATTTTGTTGGAATGAGATCTTGTCGGTTGAGAATTTGTGGGACACAAAGTGTTGCAACTTCTCCAGAACTCCTCCAGGAAAGTGTCCTATAGGGCTTAATGGAGTCAGGGGCCACCGGGGAGATCCGTCATGGCCAGATTTACATGTTAATCACACCTGCTCCGGGACACTACGGTAGTCTCACTTTAGCGCAACTGTAGAGAAAAGGTAATGAGATTTAGACGGTGATGGAGTAGTAGTGTTGTGTGTGTGTTAGTCACATTACACCAGGTGTGTTGTGCTCATAGTGTACTGTATGTTACTTAAGGCTTGACAGTGTGAAGCAATCCTTCTGTTAGTGATTGTTGTAGCCTTCATGTGTTTTATGATGTGACTAACGATTGTCTTTTTTATTGTTACAGGCGTGATGTTGATGTTGATGTTGTGGAGGGTGACTGTGGTGGAGTGTTGAGGGTCAGGGCGCTGCCCACCTGACTGTACCCGAGCGTGACCTGTGCCGCCATGAGGCCCCTCAGACTGACCTTCGCCTGGCCTCAGCTCCTGCTGCTGGCGGCCTCTCTGGCGGGGCCGCACAGCCGCAGCGCCCGACCTCGACCCCGAGATCGACATTCTTGTCGAATCTTCCCCCGTGGCCGCCACCGCCGTGGTCGCCTCGGAGGACACTCGCCTCCTGCAGGATGTTTCGAAACCTGCCGGGGAAGATAATGACGGAGGAGCCAGTGCTGGAGGAGGAGGTGGTGGTCACGACGGAGGAGGTGGTTTCTCAGGTGCCGGAACCCAAGCCCCGTATAGCGTACAGCCAGGCGTGGGTCAACAAGACTTACCTCGCCAAGGATGACTTCAATCCCCGAGGCATGGAGCACCTCTACCTCATAACCAACCTCTTCCTCGACCTCGTACATCGCCGGCGGGAGGTTCCTGCCGAATTAGGTAAGTACAATCTTTAAACCTCTGGTCCAAGGCAGCTATTACCTGGTCACACTACTCATTAAGTCTGCGGCAGGTATTATGGCTGCTGTATGGTGGTCGCGTCAAGGTAGTTACCGTGTGGCCGCTGTCTTCACGGCACCAAACTTGTCCTCCACCAGTGGTCTTCCCTTAGTACATTCCTAGTTATCTCTCTTCACCGTATTATTTTAAACCACCTAAGTTATATTTACAAACCTCTTAACCTCGTGTGTACACTTTGTAACCTCGTGTGTACACTTTGTAATCCCGTGTGTACATAATTTAAACCTATGTACTCTGGTAACTCCCATAATGTGTACACTACATCTCCTAAAATACCAACATTCTCGGCCGTTACTATATCTTTTGTCCCCCTGAATACTTCGGAGTTTCCACACGCCTCCGTCAATAGCAGTGTGTGTGTTGCCGCCTCGCCTTTCCTATGGTGGCAGCAGTGTCGTGGATATTCACTCGTGTTTACACTGTGGTGAGCCTCAAGAGCCCCGTGTTGTGCGTCTTCTGGCAGGTCCGGGGGGGAAACATTCTACCCCTGACAATAACACGGCAAACATCCTTTATACACGCTCTGATACCCATCTCTCACACACACACACACACACACACACACACACACACACACTAAACCTGCTCTCTGTACTGTCTCCCCGTACTAGACATGACAGGCCAACCTACCAACAGTTGCAGGTGGAGGAAGGCGATAAGGGGATGACATCGGACCTGGCGTGTCGCCTATCAGGTCTCTCCCCCTCACCAGGGTCGTGTTCCGTCCATCCATCCACCAATCCATCAATCAATCAATCAATCAGTCTTTCTGTCTATCTATCTGTCGTTAGCTGATTGGTTGGTTATTGCTCACAGTGGGGAGGAGATAGCTCACAATAACACGACTGGAAAATCAATATTGACCGAAAAATCTCCTTACATTATCCTCCTATTCTACACCACCCCCTCCTCCTCCCCCCTACTTAACACCGTCTCCCTTACTACCCTACACCACCCATTCCTCGTCCTCCCTACCTAACGACCCCTTCTCCTCGTTCTTACATAACACCACCCCCTCCTCCACTACACCACCCCCCCCTCCTCCACTACACCACCTCCCTCCACTACACCACCCCCTCCCTCCACTACACCCTCCCCTACCTCCACTACACCACCCCTCCCCTCCACTACACCACTCCCTACCTCCCTACACCCCTCCCTCCACTACACCACCCCTCCCTCCACTACCCACCCCTCCCTCCACTACACCACCCCCTCCCTCCACTACCACACCTCCCTCCACTACACCCCACCCCCTCCCTCACTACACCCTCCCCTCCACTACACCCCCTCCCTCCACTACACCACCCCTCCCTCCCACCACACCACCCCTCCCTCCCTCCACACCACCCCTCCCCACCCCACACCACCCCTTCCCCACACCACCCCTTCCCTACCCCACCCCTCCCCTCCCCCACCACCCATCCCTCCCCCTACACCCCCTCCCCACCCCACCTCCCTCCCCTACACCCACCCCTCCCTACCCCACACACCTCTCGCCTCCCAGGAAGTTCAAACAGTGTTCAAGCCTATTAAAGATTATAATAGGATCATAATGTATAAAGACTTGTGGTTTTAGAGAGTTATTCAGAGGTTGTGTTGTGTTGGTTGTGTTGTGTTAGGTTGTGTTGTGTTGTGTTGTGTTGTGTTGTGTTATGTTAGGTTGTGTTGTGTTGGTTATAAGTTAAGTTTTTATGTTAGGTTATGTTATCTTTATTGATTGTGTTGTGTTAGGTATATTATGTTGTGTTGTGTGTTGTGTTAGTTGTATTGTTGTGTTGTGTTATTGTGTTGTGTTAAGTTGTGTTATGTTATGTTATGTTAGGTTGTTTGTTAGGTTGTGTTGTGTTGTGTTGAGTTGTGTTAGATTGTGTTGTGTTGTGTTGTGTTGTGTTAAGTTGTGTTGTGTTGTGTTGTGTTGTGTTAGGTTGTGTTGTGTTGTGTTGTGTTAGGTTTGTGTTGTGTTAGGTTGTGTTGTGTTGTGTTGTGTGTTAGGTTGTGTTGTGTTGGGTTGTGTTGTGTTGTGTTGGATTAGTTGTGTTGTGTTAGGTTGTGTTGTGTTGTGTTGTGTTAGGTTGTGTTGTGTTAGGTTGTGTTGTGTTGTGTTGTGTTGTGTTGTGTTAGGTTGTGTGTTGTGTTAGGTTGTGTTGTGTTGGATTAGGTTGTGTGTGTCTGTATCGGGAGCTACTGGGCAGAATCCATCTACGCAGGCATGGTATGTGGTGATTGGTCCTTATCCTCGGTGACGTAAGGTAGTGTAGTGAGCTCTCTTAAACTCGCTACAGCGCCTGACTGACTCATCAACTTTAACTGGTCGAAACTACTTCATCTTGATATAGAAAGTGTCCTAACCTTGTCACTAAGTCGATCTAACCTAACCTAACCTTGTCACTAAGTCGATCTAACCTAACCCCTAGCTTCCTAACCTCCTCTTGTCCCTCCTCCTCCTCCTTGCCCTTCCCCTCCTCTTCCCTTCTCCTCTTCCCTTCCTCTTCCCCTTCTCTTCTTCCCCCTTCTCCTCTTCCCCCTCCTCCTCTTCCCCTCCTCCTCTTCCTCCTCCTTCTCTTCCCCTCTCCTCCTCCCCTCCTCCTCTTCCCCTCCTCCTCTTCTTTCCCTCTTCTTTTTCCCCTCCTCTTCCTCCTCCTCCTCGTCCTCTTCTCTCCTCCTTCTTCTCCTCCTCTTCTTCCTCCTCCTCCTCTTCTTCCCTCCTCCTCTTCTTCTTCCTCTTCTTCCTCCTCCTCTTCTTTCCTTCTTCCTCCTCCTCTTCTTCCTCTCCTCTTCTTCCTCCTCTTCTTCCCCTCCTCCTTTTCTTCCTCCTCCTCTTCTTCCTCCTCCTCTTCTTCCTCCTCCTCCTCTTCCTCCTCCTTCCTCCTCCTCCTTCTCTTCTTCCTCCTCCTCCTCTCCTCCTCCTCCTCCTCCCTCCTCCTCCTCCTCCTCCTCCTCCTCCTCCTCCTCCTCCTCCTCCTCCTCCTCTTCTTTCTCCTCTTCCTCTCTCTCCTCCCTCCTCCTCTTCCTCCACCTCTTATAACTTGAAGTTCACGTAGCTGGTAATGTGATGGTCACAAGCGGACTACAAGGTGGGCGAGGATCTGTCACTGAACACTGTACCCGCATGTGAGTGGATTTTGCCTTTACAGTGTCCTTGCCCTCGTCCGTGCCACGTCCTGAGCTCACACGTACACTCCTTACCTCCTTGCCCTTGGCTTGCCCTCGTCCGTGCCATGACCTGACCTAACCCAACCCACCAACCCAACCCAACCCCTTTCAGGTCCGTTTGCCGTGCCCACCTATATCTAGCTGGTAATTGCCTAACTCCTCCAGTTTTCTCCTCGAACTACCAGCGGCAAGTTGTTAAAGGGGGTGTTGGTACGGTGTACCACTAGCCACCGCTGCAGGCCTCCGCCATTGTGGCGCGGGGAACACTTCTCAGGTAATATACCGCCTCACAACAACAACAACAACAACTACAACTACCCGAGAAAGGAGATTGTTGTAGTTTGGTTATAGTGGTGGTAGAACCAGGCGGACGAGTGTTTTGTGGGTCACTCACCACACTCCGCCGCATTTTTTTAAAGGAAACAGTCTTGAAGATTTAACCTGACTCTTTGGGGGGAACTCTTGCCGTGTGACCCTGATTTCTCTTTAAGGGGAATATTCTTGGTTCTAGGGGATTTTAACCATGTTTTAGGGGAAGATTATTGAATGGGGATTTTGCTTGTCTGTTTGGGGAAATTTACTTTAGGATTTAGTGGGAAGGGGAGGGTTCTTCCTTCAATGGGGTATTATCTTCCTCTCCCCTTTGTTGTCTCCGTCACCCCCTTCTCCACATGTCACTGTAGCCACTTGCGTCCCTCTCTTCCTCCTCCCTTCATCCCTTCATCCTCCTCTCCTTCTTCCTCTTCTCCTTCCCTTTCCTCCCTATTTTCCCTTCTTCCCCCCCTCCTCTCCCCTTCTTCCTCTCCTCCTCCTTTCTCTCTCCCCTCTTCCTCTCCTCCTCCTTCCTCTCCTCCTCCTTCTCTCCTCCTCCCTCTCTCCCTCCTTCCTCTCCTCCTCCTTTCTCTCTCCCTTCTTCCTCTCCTCCTCCTTCCCTCTCCTCCTCCTTCCTCTCTCCTCCTTCCTCTCCTCCTTCTTCCTCTCCTCCTTCTTCTCTCCTCCTTCCTCTCCTCCTCCTTTCTCTCTCCCTCTCCTCCTTCTTCCTCTCCTCCTTCTTCCTCTCCTCCTCCTTTCTCTCCCTCCCTCCTCTCCCCCTTCTTCCTCTCCTCCTTCTTCCTCTCCTCCTCCTTTCTCTCTCCCTCCCTCCTCTCCCCCCTTTCCTCTCCTCCTCCCTCCCCACCTTCGTGTATAGCCATATGACAGTGTCCTTTTGTCATCCGAGAAAATTGACCCCTCACTAGTGCAACCATACCAGACCAGTTCTGCAACCATACCAACACCAGTTCTGCAACCATACCAAGACCAGTTCTGCAACCATACCAAGACCAGTTCTGCGACCATACCAAGACCAGTTCTGTGACCATACCAAGACCAGTTCTGTGACCATACCAAGACCAGTTCTGCAACCATACCAAGACCAGTTCTGCGACCATACCAACACCAGTTCTGCGACCATACCAAGACCAGTTCTGTGACCATACCAAGACCAGTTCTGCGACCATACCAAGACCAGTTCTGCGACCATACCAAGACCAGTTCTGCGACCATACCAAGACCAGTTCTGCGACCATACCAAGACCAGTTCTGCGACCATACCAACACCAGTTCTGCAACCATACCAAGACCAGTTCTGCGACCATACCAACACCAGTTCTGCGACCATACCAACACCAGTTCTGTACCTTAGTTCTGTCCACCACTGACTCAATGAGCTGATACCTTAAGCACTTTAGGCTCACAGATACATTTATAGTATACAAGTTTTA